TTACGGTTTCCTTTCGTTCTTATTTATTGTTCCAAATGAATGTCTATTTTTCAACATTGTTTAACCTAAAAATAGAAATTAATAAAATATGACGACACATTACAGTCATGCGTACCGTTTTAAATAGGGACACGGTTAAAAATTCAAGGTAAGCAACACTTAAGACCTTAGACGGACTTTTAAATGAATAGCTGCTATTACGTGAATGCTTCAAAACATTGATAATGTAAAGAATGCCGCCGCGTTTCACGGTGAATAATATTTGGAGACCCAAAGGATAGGTTTTACGAAATTGACATTCTCATTAACATGTCTCCGCAACGAGGAGTAAATCATCTCTTCATATACAAGCTTTATGTTCATTGTCACATTTGGCTTTCCTCGTTCCGTGTTACACAACATTCATCCAAGTGGTGTACATAAAGACACTATAAAAATTGCAGAAAAACTCATCCCTGCTGTATAACATTCAAGCACTTAAAAAATTCATCTAGACTATTCTTACTAACGTCTCATTTTGCATCAATCAATGATACATAAATGTAGAACGTGCTTTACAATTCTAAGAAATGTAAAAAGTCACAGTTTAAAACCGAATGTTTTCACGATGTTTACGCCCTTGTCCGTGGTATTCTCCCGCGTACAATTCATACCGCGCGCATGCGCGTTCGTAGAATCGGCGAGCAGACGCTCGCGCATAACTCACATGCCACTGACCCAGATTATTTAAGAGAAATGATCAATGGTATAATTACCCGTTTCGTATGGAATCCCCTGCCAATGTTACTTCCGAGAACGTCGAACGTGTGAACATAGAACCCCAGTATGATCGACGATTGCGAAAGGGATCGTTCTGTACGAGCGTTTTATTGGCTGTCTAGTTGACCTGGCGTCGACTGCTCGCCGGCCGGCCAAGTGTACACAGTTAATCGATAAAGCCGAACGCTAAAAACGACGGTTCCACGACAGGTGAAACAATTTATTGTTCTAATCGAAGGCGAAACGTAAGTCGATCTTTTATGGTTGTTCGTCTCTGTCATGGAAACATAGAATTCATGGCGATTTGTTGGCGGTTCGAGGGCTCACGATACACAGCAAAACGTCAAAAACACGCGAACGAGAAAAGTACAGGTCGAAGACCCTACGATACTGAATGCTTTCCGAAGCCATCGAAAGATGGCGGTCTGCACGATTTACGAATTATCGAGTATCTGTCGATTTATAATACCTTTCTACATGTTTAGAATACTTTTTGAACTTTATATCCTATGGCAAGTTAAACATTGTACTTGACACGTAAAAAAAAAATACTTTCTTATTAAGTGGTTTGATATTTTAGATAGTTTACCGATTTGACAGTGTTTACAAATGTTTAAAGCGCATAAAATAATACTCGTTTATATATACTCTGCTTGTTATGCATAACGTAAGCTGCTCAATAAAAGTGGACGATGCGTTTGATCTATATTGCACTTTGATATTGTGCTTTATACTTGCACTTGACCTCTCGTTGTGTTCCATGTTCACGCAGAGTTGATTATTGATTCATACCGACGATATCGTTTGATAGCATTGAGAGAAATGTATGATTGCATTTAACTTGGAATGTTTGTGTATTCTCATGTAAATGAATTAACATCGAACGAGGAGTATTCTTCCCACCCGTTAAGGCAATAAATCTTTTCTAACTTTAGTATGGAATTATGCCATCACAACGTGCGTTAAATGTTAAGGACAACGATAGTGTTACATTTCCCGCGTTAGTCTTCAACTAACATTTATATCGTTTGTTTTCGACCCCATGGTTCTGCATACAGAACAGGAATGTGTTTAGCATTAAATATACGATTCTAATGTGAGTCACACGTGTAAACTCGCTCGCAATTCAAATCACTACGTTAGCATACTTCGAAATCGTTTCGTGAAAATACGAGTGAAATACAAACAGTTATTTCTTTCACTATTTTTGTATTAACCTTATATTTTTTTAATTAACCTTCAAAATTGATCGTGCACGATGTTTATATGAACTTTTCTATCTATAGAAATATTATGTTATTACTTAAGAAAGTACAAGGCAGCGTCTAGACGTCGAAACGCAATTGATTCCTTTGAGTGATTAATGTGGAAAAAAAAGTAAAATTGCTCAGTACTGGCAAGAGTCTCGACCTTTATTCCCAATGACACGATCAATATGAATGCAGAATCGATTAAGGGGTGTTCGTTATTTCGTATTGTTTCGCATCGAAACACGTGCTTTTCCTCTTTCGTATAGGTTAGCGCACTTAGTTATCCCCGTAACAATTTATAGGTGTAATTCCTATCGTAATGCCTCAACTTAGAACTCTGTGGACTCTCTACTCGAAACGATTGGCATTGACTGGTGACAAACGCGTAATCGCCTCGTATTAACAGTGCATATTCTGAATGGGACCAGAGTCTGGTTGTGCGACAACATAGAGAATCGTAACGAGTGCCATAAAAAGAGTCGACTCTCTACGCTTTCCTTTATAACATGGAACGTGTGTATTTTTTTCATTTTATTATATAATATATGATAATTTGTACGTGGCTGCTACGTGTACGGGAACACGACGAAAAGTTTAACGCGCCATCATTAATACACCATAAAATATAGAACTAATAGTTTGAAATCTTTTCACGAAATTGGAACTAGCTAATAGGATTACCGATAGGTAAACAGTTGGTATAGTGATAATTTATCTGTAAAATTTAACTATCTCTCAGGCAAAAATAGAAGTACAGATATCGATATTGTACTTGTTCGAAGATAATTAAATTGATAATCAGTGAAAACGAAACGAGTGAATGAAATCTTTTTCTAATCTTTTTTAAAGTGGTAATGTTATTAAAATGAAATCGAAGGTGACTATTTGAATATGTTTACGGAGATTAAACATTATCAGGACGAAAGTATTAAATACATCGGTAATTATTGCCTCATTAGTTATTCGATTACTAATTCGACTTCTAAAAATAGATAAAAACAGATATCTCTATTTTTATTTCTCTTGTTTTAAATTATATTTTATCACTGCTTTTAAATCTGCATCCTTGTAACGATACAATTATAATATAACTGTATATGGTGTAACCTAACATCTGATAGAGATTATATTCAAATAGTGAGACGAGAATAGTCGCGAAATTAACACAATTGTTATATTTCTATTATGTATATATATAGTTATATAACCATAAACACATCTCTACATTTCACTACGAAAGCAATATTTAAGCACATAACAAGACGTACCTAGATTGTTGATCCAACGAAATTCCAATCATTCCACGGTCATCGATTATGCGCAATATAGTGGTCAACCATAGTGTACGTAAAATTGTATTACTTTGAACTAGTTCATTATGTAAAATATCCCACAGATGCGATCACTACATTGTCCAAAAATTGAAACAGCGATACTTAATAGCACACACACACACATTTAAATTCTTGATACTGATATCTAGCACAATAGCAATATTCAAATGTCGTGCGTCGCGTATTATCGAATTTCCGATCGTATGTTTGTAAGCTACAAACGTTCAGTTTTTTGTAAAACTGCGAGGCGTATCGAGGCTGGGAAACCTCGTTTATTCCATGGAAGCATGCTTGCAAGAGAGAGTTTCATGCGTTCAAGCCGATCCACCACAGTGCGTTCCCGTTTGAACGTTCGCACGCGCATAACTGACAATGAAACGAAGCTTTGTAATTTCCAGGTCGTATGCACCTATGTGTAGTGGGCACGAAACAGACATCATCAAGGACGTGTCAGACATAGATCATTTGTGAATTTGTATAATTCGCATATCTTTACTGGATGAAAATATGTAACGTATTTCGTACGACGCACGTGGCGTCGTTGTCACGTTCTTCCAATAAGTGATTTCCTTTTACAAAAATATCAATTGGTCGATAAAGAAGTTCAACCTCTTTAGGTGATAAATGTTTACGATGTCTGAAATTTATTAATCCTGAAGACTTCTGGCCTTAAGTAGTAATTATATTTTTAAACTAGTAAACAATATATCGATCATACAATGTTGTGTAATAAGAGGATGTGTGTTACTGTAAAATTTTCCACTTGACCCTTTTCGATCCGAAGTTGTTGATAAAATATGAGATTATTACCTTATTATCCTATTAGATAAATTTATTCTTTAATTTCAATTGTGACTTGTTCTTGACATGAGCAAACGTTCAAGGAGGTCAAATGAATTAGCGATTAGCTTCTAAGCAAAGTAGTGCTTGTATCAATTCGATATCGATACTTGAATGAGAAGTTATGGAATTGATTTAATATAGTTCTAACTTATTATACATCCTGTGTCTCTTCAACATAACTTATATGTACTAGAATCTATTCTATTGTGAGTGAAGTCTAGAAAATTTAAACTAAGGGTTGCGGAAGTAGCGATCTCTACCGAAGATCAACGAAACAGTTTCGGGCGAGCTATCGATTCTTACCGAAGATTTCCGGAAATAACCGAGGTCGTGAAAGTGACGTATGTACGTCAGTAGTGTGGGCCGACCCGCGTATCGTCGGTATAGTTGAGAAATTCCATCGGATTCTGTTTCTCACGAAAGAATCTCTAACATCACGATACGCAATCATGAATTTGCTTTAGTAAAATCGTTAAAAGGATCGCGAACAAGGGAAGCGGCACACTGTCGTATATGTTCGTGTAACTGGCGTGAGAAAAATTCTTGTTCTTATACGTGTGCGTTAGGGCCCCGATCAATCTTCAAGTTCACGACCCCACAATTATTCGGTTAATTGGGTTTATTCGTGATTGAATCTACGCTAAATTAATAGCGTTTCGACAATTCTTCTTCCGTGAGGTATATCTCGAGTCACTACTGCTAGGATCGATCACCGTGACCTAACCTTGAAATCACCAATTCCTCCCCCTGATTTCCCGGGGAGTTTTCATGAATACTACAATTTTCTTTCCTTACAGATTCGATTTGGTGGTCACCTACGGGTGAACAGAGATGGCCACCCCTCAAACTCCAGGTAAGTCACTTTTTCTTTGTTTGGCTAGACAAATGTCAACCATGTTCTAGTTTATCTGTCATGTTGAACAACATTAGGAACTCTGTAGAAAAAGACAGAAATGATTCGTGATTCTTAATTTGGTAGACGTTATTGATTGAAGAAGGAAGTGTTTTACAAGTATTGTTACTTTCATTCAGAAGAAATTATTTAGTTGTGTATTATGAGAAAGAAAAGAAGTGTCAATTGTTTCAGGTATGGATCCTTGGGTGATCCAACCCAGGGAACGTGCAAGATATAGAGAACAGTTTGATTCTTTAAAACCAATCAATGGTGTTGTTACTGGAGAACAAGCAAAAGAATTTTTGCTTAAGTCTCAGCTTCCACCTGTCATTCTTGGACAGATATGGTATTGACATTTTGTTGTTGTATTATTTTAATATTTAGTTTGTAATAATCATCATACACATAATACATCCCTTTTTATGTAGGGGTCTATCAGATACAGATTCAGATGGAAAGATGGATATAAATGAATTTAGTATTGCATGTAAATTAATTAATTTAAAGTTACGTGGTTTTGAGATTCCTAAAGCCTTACCACCTACATTGGTGCAAAGTTTAAAGTCACTTTCTGCCAGTGAGTATAAGAAGAATAATAAACATTCAAGATTATTTTAATTAATAATAGTGATTTACATTATTTAATATACTTTTTAGGTGATAGTAATGTTTCAAGTTTAACAAATGGAGCTGCTAATATTCCACCACAGAATAATGTTGCTTCCTTAGTAAATTTATCTGCTACACCTCAAGTTCCAGTGCAGCTTGGTGGGATGCCCATGACTGGATCTGTTCCACGACCACTTATAGGCCCTCCACCTGCAAATGGGCCATTATCAGGACATGCTATTAGACCTGCCTCACCAATGACGTTACCAGGTGACTATATTAAGTATTTCATTCTCTAATATTTGAAGCATATATAAATGAGTGCATATGATGAAAAAAGTATAAATTTCCATAGGATTCATCAAAACCCTTACACTACTGTTAAAAATTATATTTCACAACAAATACAATCATATCTTAGTTGAATTTACAGCTGGTATATGCCATAACAACTAAATATTTTATTATCAAGACTGAATTGAAGTCTACTTCAGCTATTGTCATTGTTCATTCTGGTT